AGTTATGATCCTCCCCAGAGCTGGGACAGAGGAGGTGTTGCAGAGAACTTTCTTGCCAGAGCTGGGTGGTTTCAAAGATCACCCAAGATGTGTGTATATAGTTCCTGGAGAGCCAAGCCCCAGGAAGGTATGTCCTTATAGCTCGCCTGGGGGTTTGCCATGATTTTTTTTTTTTAATCATGTCATTTGAAAGTCACTTGAATAAATGCTTCCCAAAATAAGCCTCAGGCATCCCTCTGCAACCTCACTGGGGCTGCAAACCTGGTGTGGGGCTTGCTTTGGTCTCATCTCTCAGTGGGGTCTTGTTTAGCACTGGGTTAGGCACACGCAGGGGCATGGTGTGTTAAATCTGCCTGGATCAGAGTCCAGGATCTTTGTGGCTGTTAACCAAGTACATCTCTGTGGATCTGTGTGTGGAAGGAGCAGATGGGACTGTGCCTGAAACGTGAGCCCTGCTCTGCTCTGCCTGAGGGGACTGCGCTTGGCTCTCTGTTGGCTTCTGACCCACTCCCGTAGGTATTCCTGTGTTTAATAACATACCTCTCCATGGCTGGGAAGTGGCCCTGGCACGAGGCCAGCAAGGACCTGCCCTACCTGTGTTCTTGGCTGGAGTTTGTCCCCACTGCTGGCTGCCAGAGGTGTCAGGAAGGAGGGGAGCACGTCTGGTTTGGCCTCATTGTCACTAACCCTGGAGTCACCAAGATCCCTGTGGGCAGAGCTCCTTGTAGCCAGGAACAGCCAGGGATGGGCTGGTGGCTCTGAGAAGCTGGTTACTTGTCCCTGGACAAGAGCCCTGATGTTTTCCATGTTCCCTTGGGAAATCACAGGATTGTTAGGGTTGGAGGGGACCTCTGCAGATCACCCAGTCCAACCCCCTTGTGAAGACAGGGTCACCTGGAGCAGGTGACACAGGAACTCATTTGGAATGGGTTTGGAATGTCTCCAGAGAGGAAGGGTCCACACCCTCCCTGGGCAGTTCTTTCTTGTGCTGAGGTGGATTGTGTGCTTGTATCAATGACAGGGAGAGGCAAAACCTTGTTTTCAGAGAGTTTGCATTGGTGTGACCCCCTTGTAGCTGTGACATGAGGACCAGAGCAGTGTGGAGTTTTTGTTGTCCCACTGCATTTTTAGATGTTTATCTCATTTCCATTGGATAAAGCTGTGGCAGTGATTCTTTTCCTCCCTCAAGGCTTGGCTGTGGGGGCTGTGACAGCCCCTTCTTGGTCCCTGTCATCTGTCACCCAGAGCTGTGCTCCCCTGGGACTGTGGGACACGGGTCAGGTAGCAAGACTGGCAGGGAAACCAGGAAGATTTTCAAGGGGAATGATAACAAATGAACACTTGCTAGAGTCCCAGCCCTGAGATGCTGAGAGCTGTGACCTGGAAGTGTTTGTGACCATGTGCTGTTCTTGCTGACAGACGCACCACAGTCAACCCTGAAGTGCTGGGCTGAGACCTCCTCGTCTGGGCTGATGCTGCAGCTGTTTTGCAGCTGGCCTGGGGGCTACCCCCACCCCACCCTGCACTGGAGAGAAGAGGGGCACGATCTGGAGAACTCCAGCTGGGTCATCAGCTCCATGAACTCCTCAGACACCCACGTGGAGACACTGAACAGCTCCCACCTCTCCCACCGCAAAGTCTTCAAGTGTGTCGGCAACCATGTGGTCAAGCAGGAGCAGCCTTCGTGCACTGTGGAGATAAGTGAGTTGATTTGCTGCCTCATTAACTTAATTTGCCTGCTAACAGTTGGGCAGGTGGGTACTCCAGTCGTTCCCTGCCCTCTGGAGCACTGAGGTGGTCAGGGAAGCCAGGAGGCAGCATGGCAGGGGGGACAGCATAAGGCACAGACATCCTGCAGCTGAGATCCATCATGGCATAGTTGCAGGTGAACTGTGTTTTGGGTCCACCTTCAGGGGACTCCAATCTCAGCACAGCAGGGTTTTCACCTGTGGAAAGCTTTTGCACATGCCTGTGTGAAAGTGAGAGCTGGTTTTAGTGCCTTGCTCAGGTTAAGTTCGGTAGAGCTGGGGATACAGAAGAGTCGTGTGTGCCCCCAGACTCCTTCAGGCATCTTAGGGATCTGTCTAAAGTGGCTTTTGAAAACCCAGGCTGTATTTATCTCCCACAAGAGCTCTTCTGATCCCAAGGAAACTTCCTGGGCTGCCTTTCTCCTCTCTGCCATCTTCCCTTTGGCTACCCTCAGACCATTCTTCCCTGGGGATATAAAGACAGGTGTCAGAAGGGACTGAGCACCATGGAAGCTGCTCGGGTCACTGCTCAGGAGGCTCCTGAGTGAACTGAATGCTGAACCCACAGTGCTCACCTGCCAGACTCCTACCTGGCTCCCTTCTGTTAATGATTATTAATCAGTCAGATGGCTGATTGCTTGTTATGTTAATTGCCTCCATTCCCTCCTTGACTCCTTTTCTTTTTCCCCTTGGGCTGTTCAGAAATCCCTTCACTGGAGTCAGAGCCCCCCAAGACCTGCTTTGTGGGTGACAACGTGACCCTGACGTGCCGTGTGACCGAGAGCACGCCGGCAGCACGGATCAGCTGGCTGCGGGACATCACCCAGCCAGAGGTGGAGATCCAGCCTGGAGGGAGGTTCCTCATCACCCACGAGGGCAACGTGTCCCAGCTCACCATCCAGAACTGCTCCCAGGACACCGATGGGGGCTGCTACGTCTGCAAGGCCCAGAACCCCGTGGGGCTGAGGGAGCTCTTCGTCTGCCTCACGGTGAAGGGTGAGTGGGGCTGCCATGGCAGGGAGTCGGGAGGGGGTGGGGACACACCACATTTGCCACTAAGAACCTGCCTTTTCACTTGCACTGGGAATTCTTCATCCATCTGTGTCCTGGTGACAAGCCTGTGTCCCCTCTCCGCAGAGCCAGTGAACATTGTTGGGATCGTGGGTGCTGTGGTGGTCCTGTCCCTCCTGGGTATTCTCACCATCACCGGGGTTGTCTTGTACTACAATCCCCTCCTGTGCCTGAGAGGTAGGGATTGGTTCCTCCTTCCTGGTTTATTCCTAACTTGCCTGTCCCTCCAGGTATTCTGGAGTCAGTCAGGGTTGCATGTGTGGACAGGTCACCTTTGTGTCTGTGCCTTTGCGTGGGGACTGTCCGGTTGCTGGCAGCTCCACATGGAGGCACAGACATGGAGACAGGACTGGCAGGGGTTGTGCAGCCCAGTAAAACCAGTAGCACTGCCCAAGGGGGCTGGTTTCTAACCCTGTCTTTCCCTTCTGTCCCATTCAGGTGCTGCGTTCAGGTGAGTGTTGACATTCCTCAGCCCAGTCCTGCGTGGCCTCACTAGTCTGCCTTCCTGAAGGGCAGGGAACAGGCTCTCCTCAGTCTTCCAGCCCACCTCCACTTGCTCTGCTGTTCCCAGGCATCCAGACTCAGGTGATGTCTTAGTGCTGGTGGACTCTGAAGATGACGAGGAGGGGAAGGGGGATGAGGAGGCCACGAGCAGCTGCACCAAGCAGGAGGCGATGGCGCTGGTCGATGGGAACAGTGCCCAGGCTGCTTATCTGAACTACCTCATGGAAGGTGAGCCCTGGGGCAGAGCCACCTTCTGGGTGGGTCTTCCTGGAGCATCTGCCAGGGAGGGAGGAATTCCTGTTGCCTGTTGGCTGTAGCTGAGATGCTACTGGTCTGTGCCTTGCATAGGTGACGATGGAGAGCTGCACGGCAGGGTCTCTCTACAGGAAGCAAGGGGAGAAGAGACACGAGGCTCATAACTTCCATCCCTCCTTGAGGAAGTACATGGAGCTCCAGCTGGAATCCAGCATCAAGCACGTCCTCATTTGTGTGTGGCTGAGCACAGGCTGTCGGTGTCCTGCGACAGGCCAGTTCAGTCAGAGCCTTCCCACTCCTTTCTCCACTTGCCTCTTCCACAGTTTCACTCCGTCCTTCCCCAGCCACGTTTCTCTGTTTCTCTTCTCTCTTCTTGTTCCTCTTTGTCTCGGATGTCCTTAAAACAAGGTGACACCCAGCACAGGCAGAGCATGGGAACAGTAACCCACTCACCTTGGTGCCTGTGACGGACTCGAATTCCAGTGTGGGATTCTGTCCCCATGAGCAGTGCTGGGATGGGGAAAGTCACCACAGGGCCACAGTGGTCCCAGGATAAGGGAAGAAACGAGTGTGCAGGCAGGACCTGGCTGATGCTGACTCTGGGGAGGCTGAATTGTTTTTATTATAAATATTTTTTCCCCTATTCTGTCTGAAATGTTGGCTCCGTGTCTGAGTCGGGAGTTAATCTGTTCCTTGCGGGGTGGCTTTAAGGGGGATGCCTGGTGGAAAGGCATGGAAAGCATGGAGGGAACTTATACAGGGAGGGGATGAGGGAAGCAGAATCCCCACAGAGGGGATCAAGGGAGCTGTGGGGTGCGTGACAGAGGGTCGGGATGTGCAGGAAGGGTGCAGGGACTGGTCCAGTCTGAGCACCCTGCGGGGTAAAGAGAGGGGTGAAAAGGCACAGAGGGGAGCAGGGAGGGATCTGAATGTGCATGGAGGGAGTAGAGGAATCAACACACTCATGGGAATGGCCAAATGGAGCAGGATGGGGTGGGATGGGGGAGCAGAGGACTCTGCAAGAGGGGACAGGAGTAAACTAAAGTGGGGAGTGGTGTGATCGAGTGTGTAGAGTGATGGAGGAGGGAGGGAGTGCACACAGGGGGTCTGTGTGTGCAGGTTAATGGGGGGGCATGAGCACTCACATGGGGATGAAGGGAATCTGATGGCACATGGAGTGTAAGGGAAGCACTCCTGGGGCATGTGAGGAGGGGCAGTGTGGGCACTGGTGAAGTCAGGGGGGCTGAGCCATCCCTGGGATGTTAGAACAGTGTGAATTGATGGGCACAGAGGGGTGGGGACACCTGAGCACTTGGTGGGATGGTGGTTGGGGTCTGGCTGTGCACAAGTGGTCTCTGAAGGGCTGTGGAACCCAAACAGAGAGTTCTGAGGGGCTGGAGCAGGGTCTGAGGGCTGGAGGGAATGGAGTGTAAGTGCAAGGGTGGACTGTGGTTAGAGGGCTGAGGGTGGGACCCACCTGCAGCTGTCCCCAGGCAGCCCTGGTGCATTCCTGGTGCCCAACACTGAACCCTCACAGCAACGCTCAGAGCCATGCCAGGAAAATCCCAGGGAACTGCAGGAGCCTCCGGCTGCCCGGCAACAGTGTTGTGTGCTGCTGCCATCTCGTCTGCCCTCTCCCAGCTCCTCCACAGGCCCCGGGGC